AACAAAAACAATCCCCTTTTCACTCTTGCATTAGTGATATTTGATGTTGAATTAGCGTGCTTCCCTAGTGATTCGACCCTTTACTTGCCACTAACTAGTTTAGTGTAGGTTTAGGTATTATAAATGATTAATTTGGTTAGGGTGGTAGCTTAACGACCTATTTATCCCCCGATCAAATTTGGCGTCGTTCCTGGGGAAGCAGCTTGTTTAGCGTCTATTATTGCTTTTGTTAGAGTCATTTTGCTTTTTTTTTTTTTTTATTTTTTTTTTTTCTGTTTTATCATCCTTGTCATTGCTAATTATTTTCTTAGCTTTGGTGAATGCTTAGGAGGTCTCAAGGAGCACCCTCATATCAAATTGATCACGAAATCAACCGAACCTTGAGACAAGTCCGTAGGCTTTATCAAGATGAGGGATGAGGTTTTGGTGATATAGTTTATAGTGAGAGTGATACTTACTCTTCAAGTTCACCACGCAAATCAATGTCGGGACAAGAGAATGATGTTTTGTTTCGTGAGTTCGGAAATCCGGAGGATTACGAACTCACGGGAGGGATTTTACTACCCGTCACGGAAACCAACTTCTCGATCCATCCACAATATACTCGAATGGTCCAATCGGAGAAATTTTCCGGATGTGCAAGTAAGGACCCTATTGAACATTTGGACCGATTCCTTGAATTGTGCGTAATGATGCAAACCAATGAAGTGAGTCAAGACTAAATTCATATGCACCTTTTCCGGCAATCTCTCACCGGACGAGCAAAGAAATTGCTAAAGCAAGTAAAGCCTAACACTTTAACAACATGGAGGGAGGTTGTAAAAGCGTTCTTGAAGCGCTTTATCTCCGAAGATAAGACCACCGAATTGAGAAAGGAAAATTGCATCATTTGAGCAAGAGGCCGATGAAAGTCTTGGTGAGGCATGGGAGAGATTAAAAGAGTTGGTGCAAGCATGTCCCCACCATGAGTACAATCAAGGGTTGCTTATGCGGTTTTTCTACGACGAATTAGAGCTTATGTCAAGAGCCAATTTGGATGCGGGGGCGTTTGGTTAATTAATCAAGATCCCTCAAAATCAATTTGAAGCCACAATAGAAGAGGTAGCAAAGAATTACTCTCTAGGGGGGGGGGCGAAGAAGAAATGCTCCAAAAAGAGGTGGTATTTACGAATTGGAGAAAGTTGATCAATTACAACATCAAATTGATAAACTAACAAAAAGGATTTCCAAGTTGAACACGAGTGTGAATGCAAGTTCAAGTGGTGGAGCAAGCTCTTCTCAAGTTAACTCTTTCTCTTGTCAAAATTGTGGAGGAACGAACCATGATACATCCCATTGTGGAGGTTTAAGCCCCGAACATGTAGCGGCATACAACATAAGGCAAGAGGGATTTAGAGGAAGCGGTGGTGGAGTAGCTTGGAGACAACCACCACCCAGGTTTGTACCTCAACCTCAACTATGGAACCAACAAGCTCAAACTTCCTATAACTCCAACCCTCAATATCAAAAATCCACCTCCATATCAACCCCAAAACCTAAGAGGAAGCTATCCAAGGAACAACCAATACAACAATCAAACCCAAGCACCTAAAAGAAATCATCAAGAACAAGCACCTCAAGCTGAGCTAACTCAAACTCAACTCCTCCAAGCCATGCATGCACAAATGCAATCTTTTGGGCAACAAATGCAAGATATAAGAGCTCACAACAAGATGGTTGATTCACAACTAGCTCAATTGGCCTAGAGAACTCCTTTCAATTCACCATCCACTCTACCCGGACAACCACAACCTAACCCATCTCACAATCCAAAACCCGATACATGCTAGGTGATCACATTGAGGTCGGGAACTTCCTTTGAAGGACCAAATTAAGGGGATAGTGAGGAAAACAAGGGAGGAGAGGAGAGTGTGAATGAAAACAAGGGAGGTCAGAAAGAAAAACATGATAAAATAGAAGGAGGTTTGGAGAAGAAGAAGCTTGACAATAAGAAGACAACTTCAATTCCTAGTGAGGCTAGGAATCGTTATGAACCGGTTCCTTTTTCCAGGTCGGCTTGCGGAGAGGAAATTGAATGACAAGTTCACAAAATTTCTTAGTGTCGTGAAGAATTTGCATATCAACCTCCCTTTTCATGAAGTTGTGACACAAATGCCATCTTACTCCAAGTTCCTTAAGGATATTCTCACCAACAAGAGGAAGCTCAATGATGAGCTTATCACCCTTCCACATCAAGTGAGAGCTCTTGTCCAACATAAGATGCCCAAGAAGGAAAAAGACCCGGGAAGTTTCACTTTGCCGGTGAAAATTGGGAACATGGAAGCAAGGGGCGCCTTAGCCGATCTTGGAGCAAGTGTTAGTTTAATCCATCTATCCATTGCTCAAAAACTCAATATTGAGATGATCCCTACAAGGAAGACAATTCAATTGGCCAATCGATCGGTGAAATTACCTTGTGGAGAGCTTGAGGATGTTCCAATTCAAGTGGGACACATCTACGTGCCTTGTGACTTTGTAGTGACAGATATGGAGGAAGATGTTAACACTCCTTTGATTTTGGAACGTGAAACTCTTAAAACTTTGGGGGCGGTCATCAATTGCAAGAACAACACCATCACTTGTGAAGTGGCCGATGAAAAGACTGTCTTTGAATTTTCTAAGTTGCTCAAGACCCCCATGATTGAAAAATGCTATAGAGTTGATGTTGTAAATGAGGAGCTTGATCGCTTGGGGAGGGTCGTGATGAGGCCTCAAGATCCAATGATAGAAGCCCTACATGCAAAGAAGAGTTCCACTCTCAAGAGGCTAAAAAATTTGTCATGGCAATGGAGGAATCCTCAAAGGAGGAAGTTGAACAACAAGTTAAGACCGAGCTTGAGTCCAAGGAGGAGAAATTGGAGGAGATTTCTAAGCCTCCTCTCAAGGTAGAACTCAAGCCTCTTCCCCCTTCTTTGAAATATTCTTTTCTTGATAAGGAGGGAAAATACCCTATTATTGTCAATGCTACCCTAGATGGTCTTAATTTGGAAAAGCTTCTTGATGTTTTAAGAAAATATAGGGATGTGATAGGGTATATCATTGATGATATCAAATGTATTAGCCCTTCTTTATGCATGCATCGTATTCATCTTGAAGATGATCATTCCACCTCCATTGAACCTCAAAGAAGGTTGAACCCCAACCTTCAAGAGGTTGTGAAGAAAGAAATTTTGAAACTACGTGAGGCGGGCATCATCTATTCTATCTCCGATAGCAAATGGGTAAGCCCGGTTCATGTAGTTCCAAAGAAGGGTGGGATGACCATAATCAAGGATAAAAAGGGAGAGGAAATCTCCACCCGGACGGTGACCGGGTGGAGAATGTGCATTGATTAAAGGAGATTGAACAAAAACACCAAGAAATATCATTTTCCTCTCCCTTTCATGGACCAAATGCTTGAAAGGCTTTCTAACCATGCTTTCTTTTGTTTCTTGGATGGGTATTCCGGATTTTTCCTAAATCCCTATCCATCCAAGTGATCAAGAGAAAACTACTTTCACATGTCCATATGGGACATTTGCATACCGAAGGATGCCATTCGGATTATGCAATGATCCCTCTACTTTTCAAAGATGCATGACTTCCATTTTCTCTGAGATGCTTGAAAAAGAAATTAAGGTTTTCATGGATGATTTTAGCGTTGGTGGCTCTTCTTTTGACACTTGTCTTTTTAACCTTGAAAAAGTTTTGAAAAGGTATCAAGAGACGAGTTTGGTTTTAAATTGGGAAAAGTGCCATTTTATGGTTGAGGAGGGCATTGTCCTCGGCCATAAGGTTTCAAAAAATGGCATTAAAGTAGATCCGGCCAAGTTTCGGTGATTGAAAGTTGCCCCCTCCTACTTCCATCACGGGGGTACGGGCTTTTCTTGGGCATGCCGGTTTTTACTGGAGGTTTATCAAAGATTTTTCTTCAATCGCCAGACCCTTGATCGAATTGCTCAAAAAAGAGGTTGTTTTTTATTTCAATGAGGCTTGCCTTGAGGCGTTTTGTAAGCTCAAGGAAGCTCTCATTTCTTCTCCCGTTGTGCAAGCTCCGGATTGGAGCTTGCCTTTTGAGCTAATGTGCGATGCCAGTGAATTTGCAGTAGGTTCCGTTCTTGGTCAAAAGAAACAAGGAAAATCATGTGTCATCTACTACGCAAGTAGGACTCTAGATGAGGCTTAAAGGAATTACACAACAACGGAGAAAGAGATGTTAGCGGTAGTGTTTGCATTCGATAAGTTTCGGTCCTATCTCAGATGCTGAAAAGTTATCACGTACATAGATCACATCGCGGTACGGTATCTCATGACCAAGAAAAAAGCAAATCCTGGCTTGATATGTTGGATTCTTTCTCTCCAAGAGTTTCACATGGAAATGAGGGACAAAAAAGGAGCAGAGAAATATGTAGCGGATCATTTTTCTAGGCTACCATTTGAGAACAAGGAGGATGTACCGATTAATGATAAGCTAGGATTCGAGGCTCTCATGGCTTTGGTGTCAACTTCTACCCCTTGGTACTCCGATATAGCAAACTATCTTGCGTGTGGAGTCGTTCCCCCGGAGTACTCTTCTCAAAAAAGAAGAAGTTTTTCAAGGAATGAGAAGGTATTTTTGGAATGACCCATACCTATTCAAGCAATGTTGAGATGGCCTTTATCGGAAGTGCGTTCCAGATCATGAAATTCAAGGTGTTCTTGAGCATTGCCACTCAGTACCATGTGCAGGACATGGTGGTGTTGACAAAACAGTGGAAAAAATCTCTCAATCTTTATTGTGGTGGCCGACGATTCATAGAGACGCCCACCAATTCGTTGTGCAATGTGATAGATGTCAAAGGAGCGGAGGCATTACCAAGAGGGACGAAATGCCCTAACAAAGTGTCTTAGAAGTTGAACCCTTTGATGTTTGGGGGGTGGATTTTATGGGGCCTTTCGTTTCTTCTTGTGGGAATCTATACATCATGGTAGAGGTCGATTATATGGCGAAATGGATTGAAGCCATACCCTCACCTACCAATGATCACAAGGTTATGCTTAAGCTCCTAAAGAAGATCATTTTTCCTAGGTTTGGAGTTCCGAGGGTGCTAATTAGTGATGGAGGCTCCCATTTCGCCAAAAAGCAATTTGAAGCTCTTCTCAAGAGGTACGGCGTTCATCACAAAGTAGGATTACCTTACCACCCTCAAACTCAAGGAAAAGTGGAGGTCTCGAATCGTGAAATCAAAAATCTTCTTGAAAGGACGGTGAACAAATCAAGGAGAGATTGGTCTCTCAAACTTGATGACACACTATGGGCTCTTAGGACGGCATACAAGACTACAATCGGCACGACCCCCTATAGGTTGGTCTATGGAAAGGCTTGTCACTTGTCGGTTGAGTTGGAATACAAGGCTTGGTGGGCCATCAAAGAGCTCAATATGGATTTATCGTTGGCCGGTGAGAAGAGATTGCTTAAGCTCAATGAACTTGAAGAGCTTAGAGATGATGCTTATGAGAGCTCAAGGTTATATAAGGAGAAGGAAAAAAAAAGTGGCATGACCAACATACTCGAAACAAGAACTTTAAGTTTGGAGACAAGGTTTTGCTTTTCAACTCAAGGCTTCGTTTGTTTCCGGGTAAACTCAAATCAAAAGTGGTCGGGTCCTTTTGTGATTTCAAAGACTATTCCTTATGGCTCCTTTGAGTTAGATGCGGATGGTAACAAGTTTATGGTTAATGGTCATTGTTTAAAGCATTACTTTTGCAAGGAAGAAGTTGGTATCATCGAATGCATAATGCTTGATCCTTTGGATCCCAAGCCTCCCACTTGAAGAATTTTTCTCATGGTCAAGCTAGTGACCTCATAAAGAAGCGCTTCTCGGGAGGCAACCCGAGTCTCTAACCCTTTTCTTTTTCCTTCTTTCTTGATGCTTTGTTATTTTATTATCTACAATGTTGGATTGTTGGATTTTCAATTTTGATTGTGTTGGAATTTTTGATGTGCTTTGCCTTAGCATGATGGTATGGTGTTTAGTGTGTTTTGAAGAGGGGTGTTTTGTGTATATTGTGTTGAAAAATGGCATTTTTTTGGAAAAGCCAGGTGGTTCGACCGAACTCCCCGAAGGTTCGGTCGAACCTTTTGAAAGGTTTGTCCGAACCTTATGGAATTTCGGTCGCACCTCCTCTGGATCCTCAAGTTGAAAACTTTATGCCAGAAATACAGAAATTAAGATTTTGGAGTAGGTTCGACCGAACTTTAGTTCGCCCAAACATAGCTGTGTTCGGTCGCACCTCCTCTGGATCATCAAGTTGAAAACTTTATGCCAGAAATACAGAAATTAAGATTTTAGAGTAGGTTTGACGAACCTTAGTTCGCCCAAACATAGCTGTGTTCGGTCGCACCTGCTCTAGAATCACAACTTGAAAACTTTCTGCCATTTTTGCAAAATTCAAGTTAGAGAGAAGGTTCGGCCGAACCTTGAGCAAGTTCGGCCGAACTTACCCATGGTTCGACATAACATACCCATGGTTCAGTCGAACCTTTGTCGATTTTAAAAAAAAAAACGGGGGCTGCTCTTCTTCTTCATTTCATTTCATTTGACCCCCTCTCTCTCTATTTTCCTCCTTCTCACTCTAACCTCCATTGCAACCACCTCTTACAACCTCAAACCTCCATCAAAATCACTCCAATCTTCTCTTTTTCTCACTTATTTTCCATCCTCTACTCCATTTCTACAATCTCCACCAAAAATTCCTCACAAAAATCCCATCTTTTCATTTCCCCCAATTTCTAGGGTTTAAGTGCTTTGGTATTTTTGGGTTTTCTACTTACTTACAATCAATTGTGGTATGATTTTCTTAACTTTTGCAAGTTTATTTCTTCAATTTCTCATAGTTATACCATATTTTGGATGTTTAAATATGAATTGTGGTATTCTTGAAATTGTTAGTAATAACTTGCTTGTTTCTTGTGGTTGTTTGGATTTACATGTTGCAATTGATTTGTAATTGATAATAGAACATGTTATTTTCATGATTATGCATGTATACCTTGGTTTTGTTTGATCTCAATGTCTTTGCTTACAAATGTTGATTTCATGGTAGGGTGCTTATGCTACTATTTGGTGATTGAAGAATTCATGAATTGGATGTTGTTGGAGAACGATTCTTGTTGTTTTTTGTTTGATTTTTGATGGTTTGGTGAATGATTATCACTTAATTAGGAGACATCATGCCAAAATTCACCTAGACTTTGTTAGGACTTTTATATGAATGTCATAGGATTTCTTGCCCATGCCTTGGTTTAAATGTGTCCATTTATGCCTTGAATTGAATTGTTATCATCCATTATATCTATTTCACAACTCAAGGCAACTACTTTCACGCATACACTTTTACCTTGGCTAGCTTCTTATGACATCTCTTATCAAATTTTCCTAATAATAGCTCTTTGTAATTTTGTAGAATCATGGCTTTCGGAAAGAGGAAGTCAAAGAGGAAGAGAGTGGGCGAGTCTTCTTCAACGAGTTTCCCGCCTCCTCCCGGCATCAATGATCATGGCATAATTGCTCCGAATGAGAATTTTGGGGACGTTTACAAAGCCCTCATCAATCGTCCCATCCGTTCAACACGGTTCTTTTGTCCTACCACTTTGCAAAATCTCGGTATCTTAGATGAGGTAGTTCGGTTAGCACAAATTTTTGGTTGGGGCGACTTCATCTATCTTCACGCTCACACCTATGAGCGAGTGACTTTGGAATTCCTTTCCTCTCTCCGCAAGGAAGTCATAGAGCCGGAATTTAATGATGAGGAACCTCAACTTGTTATACATTTCCGCATGTTCAATGAGGATCACTCCCTCACCGAGAAGTGATCTTAACGAGATTTTCCATTAGCATGCGACCGGGCTAGATTATCCATGCAAGATGACTTCCACTCATCGCATCCCTTACAACGAGCAAGAAAGGTGGAGGAGCATATCCACCAGGGATAGTTTTCAGACCAACACATCCAAGGTCAACAACATCATCCACATTGCCTTGAGATATTTTGCTCGGCTCCTCCAATATGTCGTGTTCTTCAAAAGCAAACCTCGGCTCAATGGTTAAGGATGAGGTTGCTTGTTTATTCTTGGCCGACAACCCTCAGCGCCTCAAGTTCCATTGCTCTTCCACCTTCATCCAAAGGCTTTTGGATACTAGGGACAACAGCCTTGATGACGACATTTTTATGGGGGGATGATCACTTATCATTGTCCTCTCCTTGAAAGATGGAGTTTAGAAGGAGCAAATAGAAATGCTCCCCTTTGTTCACCAAACCCGAGAGGAAGTCACCGACGAGTTCCCTCCCTATTCTCTCTCTCTTAGTGCTCTCCGTCATAACCGCTTCATCAACTACTTAACAAACAAGCGCAAATTCATCCTCATAGTGGACAAAGAGGTTGAATGGTGTTTCCTTCCGGACCCATCCCTCACTACGGTGGAACACTCCTCTCCTCTCAAATGGAAGATCCCTCGGCAGCACATCCCCGATGAACTAAGAAGAACAAGAAGCCCGGGGTGCAATTCCTCATCCTCCACCGGTCCACCGCCAGGAGCAAACCGTCCCCCCCCCTAGCGGGGAGGTGAGGCATCTTCCTCTTCCTCCTTTCCTCCTTTTGATATGAAAGCCCTCCGTAGTACCCTCGAGGATATCCGTCGGGATAATCCGAATTCCATTGAACAATGGGGGTACTACGGGAGGATGAATTTATGATAACCTTGTACAAGCGGGCATCCAAGCGCCCTATGTTAACTACCCCTACAACCCCCTCAAGAGGGTCCGGTTCCTCATTGGGGCCCCTATGACCCCAACAACCCTACCCCCAACGTCTACCCCTATTGGGAAGGTCCCATCGATCCTTCTCAACGCATTGGCACCCCACCTTATGATCCTTATCGCCTAGGTGGGTGTGACCTGGCTCGCACATCCACCCCAAAACCCTTTTGATGGTGGATGGGTGTGACCAGGGGTGGCCATATGAGCACTTTAACCAACCCTTCCACCCATTTATGGATACTCCCGGGTTCAATTTTGAGAACCCCCCTCAACCTAGAGGGCAAGGAGACAGGACCCTATGATGAGGGTTCCCTTCCTCCCCCCTGGAACTTCTAACTTTTACCTTTTGCTCGGGACGTGCAAAAGACTAGTGTAGGGGAGATGTTCCTTTTGGGTTGGTTGAAGTGTACATAGGAAGGGAGGGTAATGTGGTAGGGTAATGGCTTGTACATAAGGAGGACTATTGAGGATTGTGGCCTTGTTATAGTTGATGATGTTGTGATGATGTTAATGATGTTGTGATGGTGATGTGATGATGTGATGATGATGATGTGATGGTGATGATGGTGATATTTTGATGATGTTTTTTATGATGATTTTTTGACAATTTCTGATGATTCTCGAGCTTTGTGTAGGCAAAGATGCTGCCAAGAAAAAAATCCACAATTCCAACAATCCAAATTCCCTTAATCCAAACTTTGTAGATAACTTTTTATTTATTTTTTCTTTACTTTTTATTTAATTTTTCTTTTATCTATAACTTTAGTCTTTTTCTTTGTTTTCTAAATTTTTTTTTTATTTTTCTTGTTTTGTCATTGTTTCTTTTGCTTTGGCTCACCTTTCTTGAAGCTTGAAAGCGGAAACAAAGGAAGTTTAAGGAGCAACACAAGCTCCCTTGGTGAGATTGTATGAATTATCTTGTCTTCCATTTCAAGCGGCATTTGGTGAGACCTTTCCTCTCTTTTATTTGCTTTTTCTTTGAGTGTTTAGTCGAGGTTAGCTTAGAAAGAAGTTGAATGGTTCGAGGATGTTTGCTTTTGGTTCTATGGAACCTGGGATCGTTGATGTTGTTATCGAACGATAACTTGTATGAAGATTGGGATTTAATTGAATTATATGCCTTGTATGTGAACCTTTTAGATATTCTTCCTCTTTCTTTTTGTTTTGTTTTCCCCTTTTTTGTGTTACAAGCATAATTATGACAATTTGAAATGATTTTTGATGTGTAATTTGCCCACTCTTTTGGATTGGTTTGCCTCGATGCGGTCTTTGAATGCTTATCTTCCTAGTTGTTGAGGGTTTGTAAGGTTTGAGAATGCTTTGGGTTGAGTTAGACACATTGTAAGCTAAGGTACCTCGGTTTAGAACTTTTGAGGACATTTGAACCCCTAGTTCACAGGAAAGTGGTAAGATGGTGTTGCTCTCTATGGTGGATAGGATTCCTTGGTTAGTAATTTGCTATATTTTCTTATCCCGTGCTGAGCGTCATTTGTTTCTAGCCTTCATCATTCTTGTGAGCGGCACTTAGGATCCTTAACTATGCATGTCTTAATCTTTGTGTTGGAGTCTAAGCTCCCAAGATCGTGACCATATAACTCTAGAGGAGGAAGAGGGCATTTCTTCTCATTTTCTTTGTTTTCTTTGCTTTTTGTTACAATTTGGTTTTTTATTTTTACATTCACCCTCTTGCTAACCAATTTGAGCCTTATTTCCCCTTTCTTGACTTACCCAAGTTACAAACCTATCGGCCTATGTTCTACCAACCCTTGTAGTTTAGTGATGCATTGGCTTGTGAGGTTCGAGTTTGTATAATGTTGAAATTGAGCAAGAAGGTTGTGTAATTTTGTTCAAAAAGATTTTGAAAGATTATTCATGAAAAGATACACTATTAGGTTTGTAAAGAAAGGTTAAACTCATGAAAACCAAGCAAAAAAAAAATAAATAAAATAAATGATAAAAATATTGAAGTAATGTGGTGTGGTTTGTTTTGAAAAGGTTGTTAAGTTTGAAGAAT